ACACAGACCCATAGACTCACCACACAGAGACCCATAGACTCGTCATGCAGAGACCCATAGACTCGTCACGCAGAGACGCATAGACTCACCACACAGACCCATAGACTCACCACACAGAGACCCATAGACTCGTCATGCAGAGACCCATAGACTCCTCACGCAGAGACCCATAGACTCCTCACGCAGAAACCCATAGACTCGTCACGCAGAGACGCATAGACTCGTCACGCAGAGACCCATAGACTCACCACACAGACACCCATAGACTCGTCACGTAGAGACCCATAGACTCACCACACAGAGACCCATAGACTCGTCACGCAGAGACCCATAGACTCGTCACGTAGAGACCCATAGACTCGTCATGCAGAGACCCATAGACTCCTCACACAGACCCATAGACTCCTCACACAGAGACCCATAGACTCGTCATGCAGAGACCCATAGACTCGTCATGCAGAGACCCATAGACTCCTCACGCAGAGACCCATAGACGCGTCACGTAGAGACCCATAGACTCGTCACGCAGAGACCCATAGACTCGTCACGCAGAGACCCATAGACTCGTTACACAGAGACCCATAGACTCGTCACACAGAGACCCATAGACTCGGCATGCAGATACCTATAGACTCCTCACGCAGAGACCCATAGACTCATCACACAGGGACCCATCGACTCGTTACGCAGAGACCCATAGACTCGTCACGTAGAGACCCATAGACTCGTCACGCAGAGACCCATAGACTCATCACGCAGAGACCCATAGACTCGTTACACAGAGACCCATAGACTCGTCACGCAGAGACCCATAGACTCCTCACGCAGAGACCCATAGACTCGTCATGCAGAGACCCATAGACTCGTCACGCACAGACCCATAGACTCGTCACGCAGAGACCCATGGACTCGTCACGCAGAGACCCATAGACTCCTCATGCAGAGACCCATAGACTCCTCACACAGAGACCTATAGACTCATCACACAGAGACCCATAGACTCATCACACAGAGACCCATAGACTCGTCACGTAGAGACCCATAGACTCGTCACGTAGAGACCCATAGACTCCTCACGCAGAGACCCATAGACTCCTCACGCAGAGACCCATAGACTCGTCACGCAGAGACCCATGGACTCGTCACGTAGAGACCCATAGACTCGTCACGCAGAGACCCATAGACTCGTCACGCAGAGACCCATAGACTCATCACGCAGAGACCCATAGACTCGTTACACAGAGACCCATAGACTCCTCACACAGAGACCCATAGACTCCTCACGCAGAGACCCATAGACTCGTCACGCACAGACCCATAGACTCGTCATGTAGAGACCTATAGACTCGTCACGTAGAGACCCATAGACTCCTCACGCAGAGACCCATAGACTCATCACGCAGAGACCCATATACTCCTCACACAGAGACCCATATACTCCTCACACAGAGACCCATAGACTCGTCACGTAGAGACCCATAGACTCCTCACGTAGAGACCCATATACTCGTCACGCAGAGACCTATAGACTCGTCACGTAGAGACCCATAGACTCATCACACAGAGACCCATGGACTCGTCACGTAGAGACCCATAGACGCCTCACACAGAGACCCATAGACTCCTCACACAGAGACCCATAGACGCCTCACACAGAGACCCATAGACTCGTCCCACAGAGACCCATAGATTATCATAGACTTCCTTCGGCTATCGCCTTTGTGGGCGGTTGGTCACAGGTGCTCGCCCACTGGCTCGGCAACATCGCGGCTGTGTACTCGTTCCCTGCCTTGACCCCCCCCCCCAGCCTGTGCCTTTTTATAGGTGGGCAGAGGCAGGGCCATCTCGCTATTTATATTTATTTTTCCTCCTCCACTCGTGCGCTCATGTGAGCGTTGCCGCCCCTGCCCACGCTGCCCGTTGTACATCGCCACTCGTCGCATTCACGTCGTCGGAAATATCCAGCGTGCCAACGTGGGAAGGCGGGGGGTGCAGGGAGAGAGATTGGAGATCAAGACTCTTACTTAGACTTTCGCAGAGACCCACAGACTCTCACAGAGACCCGTGGGCTCTCGTAGAGACCCGTGGACTTGCTTAGAACCCCATAAGTTTGCCACGAGGCCCAGAGACTCTGGCAGATCTATCGACTCGTGTAGAGATCCATAGACATGTACGGAGATCTACCCGGCCATGGGGCAGGCGCTTTTGTGGCCCAGTGGTCGGGGCTGGGGTTAGCGCGGGTGCCCAGAGACCGAGCACCTCACTCACTAGGGTGGCACGAGTGTTGGCCGCAAAGAAGGAAGCGCCAGTTTCCTGCCGTGATACCGCGCTTCTCGGCGCTTATGGGCGTTTTTTGGCGCTTTGTAGCGCTTCTCGACGATTCTCGACGCTCCTTCCTGGCCCCCGCGGCTCAAGAATATCTGCCCCCGGGCGAACAAACGCTGCGAGGCGCTGGCTGGGGGTCGTGCATGCGACCCTTGCCTCAGAAGCGCCGAGCGCGCATTGATTGAGTCACGAGTGAGAACGCACGCACCAAGTATTTAGTGGGGCAGGGTGACGATGATGGGGGGCGATGGAGATTCTGGTGACGATGGTAATTACGAAGGTGGTGGTGGTGGTGGTAGCGCAATGATGTCAACACGACAATGATTATGATAATGTGGTAAGAGCGGTGGGTGGACTGGGGAATGATGCTGCGTGCGTGGGGAACGGCGATGGTGCAGTGGTAAGCGCACTGTGCTACGAACCCGGTGACCCAAGTATACATTTTTGCTGCCAGCTCCAAATATCTGCTAAGGCTATACGGGGAGGCATCTTTATCTTTGCTACCATATTGTGATCGATTTTGTGTGTGCTGCATTGTGATTGTGTGCGAGATGTTAACTACCTCGCCTGGTATACAGGAAATCGTGGCTTCAATCCTGACCCTGACGCCTGTTATATATTTGTGGTTTACGTGTCTCTCTCCCTGTGGACACGAGGATTTTTTGTCCGGGTCCTCTGGTTTTGCCCTCCAAATTTCGAATCAACAGTCATGCGTTTAGGTAATTTGGCTGATATACATTTCCACGTGATAAGCCACTTCATTGGGCCATCATTTGTGTGGCCAGGTCACTTCTGAAAAAGAGCTACAGTAGTACCTCGGTATACATCGTTAATTCGTTCCAGAAGGTAGGAGGACTTATACCGAATATGACGTATATACCAAACGAATTTCTCCCATAAGAAATAAAGGGAATAATCTGTTCCAGAGTATAATAAATTATATTTATATGGCATATTATACATTAGTGGGGTTGTATAAGATAATGTAGACACTACTTATTACTAAAATGCATACATAAATTAAAATGAAAAGACACGTGAATATTCACGGAGTTTTAACAGAGGTTGTGCACTGAACGAGATCTACAGGCAGACTGAGGCGCGGCGCTTTGTTTCAGTCGTGAACGGCGGTCTACGCGGGTACTGTACGCGGGTACTGTACGCGGTGACTCATCCCGACCCAGACAAGTTCTAGCAAGCGCCTCGTATTCCATCAAGACGGCGTATCCCAAGACGTTTTTTTTATTATCAGAACACGCCGTATACCAAATTCGACGTACTCCAAAGCGGTCGTATACCGAGGTATGACTGTATATAGCTCAGCGGGCCTTGGCTGGTAAAATAAAAATAGTTTAGCCTGTAAGCATACTTGAGTTTGTGAATGTATACGTGCACAGCCTGGCAAAAGCGCCGTGGTGACGTCACCGCCACTTAGTGGCGAATGGCGGTTGTTGTTCTTCTTTGGTTCTTTCGGTAAAGTCACGTAGAATGAGAATAAAATAATAAATTGATAAAATAAAATAACACAATAATATTCTCACGACGTTTCGGCCACAACACAAGCGGCCTTCATCAGGTGAAGGGAGCGAGACTGTCTGGTAGGACAGCGCTGGAGTGAGAGAGCCACGTTCAGATCACGGCTTTTAAGCTGTGTGAGAGGAACAAAGAGCCCTCAAATTTCCGTACCACGGATAGCTACGGGCCCCGTTCAGACGGGCGAGTTCGTCCATGGTCGGAACAGAGGAGGGGGAGAGAGACAGCTGCGAAGCCCTTAAGAGTCGCGGCATGGGTGTGCAGTGGTGCAGTGGGGTTATTGTGCTGCACTACGATCCCGGCGACCCGAGTTCCATTCCCGCTTGCTCACCACCACAAACAGTGGCGAATATCTGAATCGGTCCCTGGGTCTCCCTTATGTCAACTCGACCTAAAAAATCAGTAGCTGTTGCCGTGTGTAAACATCGGCATTTGGGGGAGTCCAGAGGCGGCCAGAAGTTGGTGGAAGCCTCGCCCACGCGCCCCCTCGTGTGGCGTGCCGGCATTCATGTATCTGTGTATGGATGTTGAACTTCTTTCAAACCGTACGTAGCCAACCGTGCTAATCGGAGGTGCATACGTGGTCGCAAACGGCACTGGCCCATAATAGACTTTTTTTGGGGGTTAGATCTCATAAATAAATAAATGCTTAGTTAAACCCGCCATCACCCGACACAGCCAATTAGTCAGGGTTGTTTCGTAAACAAAACATGCCAATTAGTTACTAGTTGAGCAGTAACCGGTTGTGTGTTGGAGAGTAAACCCACTACAACATTTACAATTCGAGTACCGTGATGTTTCGCTGGTAACAACAACAACCAGTGTCATCAGGCAACCGCCACAGAGTTGTGGAGAAATCCTCCTCCTGTTTTGCTCTTAAATAGAGGTCAGTGTGATGTCCCGTCACTTGTGAAGCCGATCAGGTGCGAAGGCCACTGTGAATATTGTGACGAACCAAACCAATAATAGATACCCCCCCTGGTCTCGCAACGAATTGCCACGTTTTGTTTAAGCGACACAACTTTACCAGTTGGCCGTGTCGGGTGGTGGCGGGTTGAACGACGCATTCATTTTTAATCCGACAATCTATTGAAGGACTACAGGCGGCGGGTATTTACCTCTTTGTCCTTGTTGTCTCCCAGGTGTGTGCAGGTGAGGGCTTCCCCGTGTCACGATGCGGGAGTACAAGCTGGTGGTGCTGGGGTCTGGTGGAGTGGGGAAGTCCGCCCTGGTGAGTGACGTCACCCCCCCCACCATCACCCACCTCACCACCACACCCAGCACACCCCACACACCCACCTCACCCACCTCACCCGCTCACCGCCGACCTGGCAGACTCTTCACCGCGACACCGTCCGCGTGTCCCCTGGGCGATGTGCACCATCGGCGAGTGACGTTGCACTGGGCGCCGAGGGCAGTCTTTCCGTCTTGTTCGGCACCGCACGCTCCTGCAACAACCACCACCAACAAAAGACGGAAGAGGTCCCCCCGTATTATAGCCTTAACAGACTGGAGGGGCAAGTGCTCGTTAGCGAGTAGCAACTATAAAGGCCGGAAGGGTACACGAGGGGGTGGGTGGCCAGCACCACGCCCGACCGCCTTTGTTTCCTCGGTGGTGATGTTTAGACACCCCCACCAGGTATTAATTTGAGGCTGAGTCGACCTAGGGGAGACCCAGGACCGGTTCAGATAACCGTCGCTGATGTTGGCCGTGAACGGGAATCGAACTCGGGCCGCTGGGTTCGTAGCGCAGGGCGCGAACCGCTACGCTACCGCTCCCTCCCACCAACACACACACACACCGGCGCGATGGTCCGTTAAGCTGCGCCGTGTGGGGTGGTTTTCCACGTTCGCATGCCGGGGGGGGGGGGGGGGCAGCCAGGGACATCCCAGCACAAGCGACGTCGAGTTTCCGTGACGCGTGTGCCAAGCAGCTGGTAATTGACGTTATGGTCCCAATGAGGACAACAGTGATGATGATGACGACGACGATGATGGTCAGGGCTGGATTAAGTTACGGGAGGCATGGGGGGGCCCCAGGATGTTTATATGTTTTTTGGGGAGGAGGGGGAGCGGGGGGAGCTCCTCTGTATATTCAGTTCCTTGCCTTCACTGTTTTTTACCACTAGCACCACCAGCCATTGAAAACTTTTTTTATTTTACCAGTAAGGCCCCACTGAGCTGTATGATAGCTCATTAAGTGGCTTATCACGTGGACATTTATAGCAGCCAAATACTCTAAAGCCGGAGTCCATGGGTCTCTGTCGGAGTCCATGGGTCTCTGTCGGAGTCCGTGGGTCTCTGTCGGAGTCCGTGGGTCTCTGTCGGAGTCCATGGGTCTCTGTCGGAGTCCATGGGTCTCTGTCGGAGTCCATGGGTCTCTGTCGGAGCCCATGGGTCTCTGTCGCAGTCCATGGGTCTCTGCCGGAGTCCATGGGTCTCGGTCTACAGTCTCTCTCTGCACCTCGCCTTCCGAGTGCCCGCCGGGAATTTGCCGACGGCGTGAACGCGACGAGTGGCGAGCCGGTGCACGGGCAGCCCGGGGAGCAGTCTTGCGCGACCGCGGTGGCCAAGAGGGTCACACGTTTGGCGCACGGCGGCCCTTCGCTGGCTGCGCGTGCGACGGTCGGATGTACGTGCCGACGTTAAAATTGATGCGTCGGCGCGTCCATTACAAGCTCCATTTCACACACGCGCCGCATCGCACAAAAAAAAAAACCAAGGGGACTTGCGCCGAATGTTCATTAGACGTTGTCTTGGCATTTGCCGGCACGTTTCTCCGCGCGGTAATTGGGTCGTTGTTGGCTGTCGTTCTTGTTGTGTCTCTAGGTCTGTAGGGCAATTCTGCCGCTTGTTCGAAACCGTGGTGCGCGCGTACCGCAGGATTTGCGATGTGAAACGGCGTACGACAGGCGTCGCCGTTGCAAACATCAAACGATGAGAGCGGTGGCTCTCTGGGTGTGTGTGGGGTGGAAGGGTTGGTGGGGGGCTGGGGGGGTTGAGTGGTGGGGTGGCTTGCCGCTGTAAACGGGGGGGAAAAAAAATCCATAATGGAGGTTTTTTGGCTTCGATCGCGTCAATGTATAAATGTGTCGTTTAAACCCGCAACCACCTGACACAGCCAACTAGTAAGGGTTGGCTGTGTCGGGTGGCAGTCACCAAATTCACGTTTTTGGTTACTGCCATAAATTTCCACGTAATGATGATGAGCCACTACGTGGGGCTATTATTTGACATTCTATAAAAAAAATAGCTTCATAGCTCAGTGTGTGGGGCCCTTAACCTGGTAAATAAAAAAAACGTGGTTTCTCTCCTGGATAAAATCAGTGAAATGTTAGTTCAACCATGTGAAATGTTTGTGGTCTGTTCACACGGCAAATCGTGCTGCCGGAACACCGCCACCAGCGGCCGCGCCCGGAGTACCCAGAAAAACTTTGGCGTCAGTAATTTGAACCGGTCGTTCCGTTGGGGCCGGGAGCGTTCCCCACCGCCCCTCAGGTTCGGCTCCCCCACCGCCGCAGTTTTCCTCGGTGGAGAGATTCCATTGCTGCTGTTGCTGCTGCTTTAAACTCGGCCTGAAATAAAATTTCAAGACGGGGAGGGGTGGTGGTTGGGGTTGGAGCGTGCCTTGCCTCTCATCCACGCAGCTCCTCGGTGGTGAGATGTTAACCACCTCGCCTGGTATGCAGGAGGTCGTGGGTCGATCCCGACCCTGGCGCCTGCTGCTGCTGCTGTATGTTTGGAGTTTGCGTAAATTTTTCTCGTAGTCCTCCGGTTTTCCGCTCCACATTTAGAATCGACGTCACGCATTTTGAACATTTGGCTGCTATAAATTTGCACTTGATGATGATGATAAGCCACTTCATTGAGCTATAATTTTGCTTCTGCAAAAGAGGTACGTAGCAGCTCAGTCGGGCCTTAGCTGGTAAACTAAAAATCGTTTTTAGTTTAGATCCTACGGCGTGGTGGCATGGACTCCGGCTCTCACCATAGCCGGCAAATTAAGCCCCCCCCCCTTCCACTATTGAAGTCCCTTTATTAATTTTGTATTTATCTTTGGTTTTTTCGGTAAAGTCACGTAGAAATAAGAAAAAATACAATTACATAATATACGACGTTTCGATTGCAACACAAGCAATCATCATCAGGTAGAGGAAACACATAACCGCAGATATATATACAGACCTTAATTAGAGGGAATTAACACAGATATACCAGGGGATACTGATGATGATTGCTTGTGTGGCAATCGAAACGTCGTATATTATGTAATTTTATTTTTTCTTATTTCTACGTGACTTTGTCGAAAAAAAAACAAAGATTAATTCCTGCAGTCACGAAAGCACCAAATCTAGTTTTAATTTTTATTTACTTCGCTCTTTAATCGAGTTGACCTTGCTTCGGTTGCGCTGTCTTGCGAGGGCGCAGGATAGTTCTATACTTAAGAATCTGTATTTATACTTTTAGATTTGAAGCTTTCGTGACTGCAAGGATTCATACTCTTTGGTTTTATTCGGTAAAGTCACGTAGGTAAAATAAAATAAAAGAAAACCATGAAATCCTTTCGGAAACGTGCAAATTATTTTATTTTACCTACGTCACTTTACCGAATGAAACCAAAGAGTACGTATTTATACTGGTAGGAACGAAGTTGTAAACTGAGTGTACCAGCCTGCAATAGATTAATGTATCCGTCCGTCCCCTTTCAATACTTTAACGAAGTGAAATCTCGTGCTGTTGGGTGTAAAATCAGCAATAGACAGCGCAGAGACTTGTCCTACCAGCCCACCCTGCAGGGACCTGTTACTGCAGGAGGAGCTTTAAAGCTCGCTATTTCACAGATGGTCCACTAGGGGCACAGGGTAAGAACGTGACAACAACAACAAACAGTACAAAAAAACACGATAGTAGTGCAAAGTACAAGAAAGGTAAACTAATCTCCCACATACAAGTACAGTGCAACCTTGCATTGCGAGCATTATTCATTTTGGAAACGTGCTCGTCATCCAAAGCACTCGTATATCAAAGCGATTTTCCCCATACGAAATAATGGAAACTCAGATGATTCGTTCCACAGCCCAAAAATACTGTTTTCATATAAATATGATTAATACAAAATACCTTTTTAATTTTTTTTTTATTATTTAAATGTAATAATAAGGTAATGCAATTTATTAATTACATTTAATCGTGGCTGGTGTGAGGGAGACGAGAGAGAGGAGGAGGAGGGTTATTGTGTAGGACGACTTTCACTTGCAGTACAGTTACTAAAGAACAATCACTACACTTGGACACAAAATAAAAAAAATGCTTTACGTACACACACGTCGTCACAACACTATACTGTAGTAAACAGTACATATGTCGTCACAACACTATAGTACTGTAGTAAACAGTATACACGTGGTCACAACACTATAGTACTGTAGTAAACAGTACACACGTGGTCACAACACTATAGTACTGTAGTAAACAGTACACACGTGGTCACAACACTATAGTACTGTAGTAAACAGTATATACGTGGTCACAACACTATAGTACTGTAGTAAACAGTATACACGTGGTCACAACACTATAGTAATGTAGTAAACAGTATACACGTGGTCACAACACTATAGCACTGTAGTAAACAGTACACGTGGTCACAACACTATAGTACTGGAGTAAACAGTACACACGTGGTCACAACACTATAGTACTATAGTAAACAGTACACACGTGGTCACAACACTATAGTACTATAGTAAACAGTACACACGTGGTCACAACACTATAGTACTATAGTAAACAGTACACATGTGGTCACAACACTATAGTACTATAGTAAACAGTACACACGTGGTCACAACACTATAGTACTATAGTTAACAGTATATACGTGGTCACAACACTATAGTACTGTAGTTAACAGTATATACGTGGTCACAACACTATAGTACTGTAGTAAACAGTATACACGTGTTCATAACACTATAGTACTGTAGTAAACAGTATACACGTGGTCACAACACTATAGTGCTGTAGTAAACAGTATACACGTGGTCACAACACTATAGTGCTGTAGTAAACAGTATACACGTGGTCACAACACTATAGTGCTGTAGTAAACAGTATACACGTGGTCACAACACTATAGTACTGTAGTAAACAGTATACACGTGGTCACAACACTACAGTACTGTAGTAAACAGTATACACGTGGTCACAACACTATAGTACTGTAGTAAACAGTATACACGTGGTCACAACACTATAGTACTGTAGTAAACAGTATACACGTGGTCACAACGCTATACTGTAGTAAACAGTATTCGCTCGCACGGATGTTGACTATACGAGTGAGGCACGCCGACTGAGACCGAGCATGGGAGATGATTACCCACAATCCCGCAGCGACAGAGAGAGAGAGAAGAACCATTGTCTCAGTTGTGATCACGTGACGCTCGGCAGACAAAGCGTTATTCTGTACGTACTGCTCGTATTGCAAGACCCTCGCTCGTTTATGAAATTATTATTTATTTAAAAAAAATTTGCTCGTCTTGCAAAACACTCACAGACCAAGCTACTCGCAATCCAAGGTTTCACTGTACAACTAAACCATCCCCATCCTACCCAGGCAAAGCCCACGAACGACGCTCTACACAAATTAATTATCACACGGTGGGTGAAATGCTCGCGCTGATGTGCCTAACATTTGGACACCTTTTTCCCGGTGTTTTCCGCAGACGGTACAGTTCGTGCAAGGAATATTTGTGGAGAAGTATGATCCCACCATCGAAGACTCCTACCGGAAGGTGCGGTGGATTGTTGTTGTGTTGCACCCTTTCATTTAACTCGCTCTGTCTGTTGTGGTCGTTGTTGTTGTCGTCGTCGTTGTTGTATCCTCAAATCTTGTAACTCAATGTTAACCCACTTCCCAATGTGGTATCGACTGCAAACTTGGTATACTTATGTCATAGTAATGATAATACTATATTATATCGTAAAATAATAGATATTTTTAGACATTATTTTTAATATGTAATGTTTCAGCTTGTGTCTTATTGTCCACGGTCAACTGACGTTGGGTGTCAATGGCCACGGTCCCTTACGTTGTGGCAAGCTTCAGGGGCCACTTACTGGAGTGGTGGAGTTCTCCCATTACTAGTACGTTTCATAAAAGGGTGTTTTAAAAGAAATATTTTTTATTATTACTTATTTTACTTTAACACCAGCCGCGTGATCGTTCCATTTGTAGTTTTAACTTGGGTTAGATCGCGTGCATACAAATGCGTGGTTGAACCCGCCGCCGCCGCCGCCACCACCACCCGACACAGCCAATCGGTTGTTAGGCTGTGTCTCGCAAGCAGAACGATGCTGCTTCATTCGCTCATTGTGAATGTTGTGCAGTGGGTTTTACTCTCCCAACACGCTACCGTGTGCTGTGCGAGTAGCGAATTGGCCACGTTTTGTTTACGCGACACATCCTTACTTATCCGATTCGAAGCTATCGTGACTGCAGGAATCCATACTCTCTTTGGTTCTCTCGGTAAAGTCACGTAGGTAGGAAAAATTAAATCAAACAAAAAATAATATATCACGACGTTTCGATAAATGAATAACCTCTTGTTGTAACTGCTCTCTCGCTGGTTCAGCGGTTCCACTGCTGGATTATTTTTTCCCCGCCTGAGGACGACCGCTTGTGTTGCGATCGAAACGTCGTGATTTATTATTTAGTTTATTAAATTTTTCTACCTACGTGACTTTACCGAAAGAACCAAAGAGTATACAACCTTACTTAATTGGCCATGTGTCGGGGTGGCCGTGGCGGGTTTAACGCCACCAAACCCAAAACAAACCCCCATGGTGGATCATATTGGTCGCGAAAGCCCTCCCACTACTCCCTGCCAAACCGTTTAATTCGTCCGTTCTTTCATTCGGTTGTGCCCCGTCAATTGAAGCCATTGGCGGGACCCCGGGGGTCCCATCACTCCCCCGGTGGTGGTGGGAAAAAACGCGTAGCGACACGAGTCTTTGTTGCCTTACCGACAACAACAAAACTAGTGGTCAATCGATTGGCCTCGTCGAGAGCTACTCGGGGCACTAAGTTTCGTAAAAAGTTGAAAAATTACACAAACACGTTAAATTCACCGCCTGGAGGGGCGGGCGGGGCTCGCCTTGGCAAAGAAGCTGAGGATCGACGGCTGACCGGAGGGCGTCGTCGCCGCACGCTACTGCGGCGGACGCCCGGGCTTGCGCTTGGCCGGTGGGGTGGCGCCCATCGTGTCGATCGCCGCCTGCTGCTGGCGCTTGCTGGCGCGAGTCTGGGCGGGCGGCGCGTTGCTGTCGGGATCACGTAGTGGGTGGACTGAAAAATAATAATTATTATTATTGACCTGATTTTTGCGGGACCCCGGGGTCCCGCCAAATGATTCAATTGTTTGTTCATTCTGACGCCCCCTATATCACTGCCGTGTGATAATTAGCAGGCCTCCTTTCTCCCGTTCGCCCGGCGAGATAGGCACGTCGGGTTCGTATCCGCGTTGACGGGGGGGGCCCGTGCTGAAATCCATGCGTGTGCTTGGGGCGGACTTGTTACTCCCGCTACGAGGTTTCTCCGCCATCCAGCAGTGGACTGAGCGTGGCTCTCTGACGATGATGTAACTCTTGAGGTTGGCACCAAGTGTCAGGAGGAATGCTGCCACTTGAGTTGAGGCTGTGGTTCACCGTCGATTGTCGGGCTGATTCCAACGTTACCCGGCGGTCCCGGGCCTATCCGGCAAAACCGCTCCAAAGGCAGTAACCAGTCCGGCTATCGGCACTGCGTGTGTTCCAAAACACCAAGTAGCTACGCTTGATTTCACTGTCAAATATGATATACACTACATTATACACTACATGCAGAATAAACAAGGAAAATACTGCACGTGTATACATCACCCCATGCAGAGGCTTCGAGATCGGAGTGGCAAGTACGGTGCTGTAAATACAGTCACCTATTACAGTAAATACAGTAACCTATTACAGTAAATACAGTAACCTATTACAGTAAATACAGTAACCTATTACAGTAGGATATTTTTGTATTTTTATGTTTTTCCGTGCCGATTTCACACAGTAAACACATTAAAAATACGAATATTTATTAACACCCCCGAAGCGGCCGGACAATCGATTGGCTACTTTCTTGTTAACCGTTTAAATAGAGTGGATCAGAGTTGGCTAAAAGAGTTTGAAAGCTGAAGTGACGAGACGTAGTGAATCCCCTCACCCCGAAACCGCCTCGCCCTAAAACCTCCACCCTGGATTAGTTTAAATATCCTTCGAGTGGGAGTCGGCAGGTCTAGAACCAAGATGGGGCTACTCTATGAACTCGCCACCATCACCACCACCCCAAGCCGCGTGCTCGGCACCGCTTGCCACATCATCACCACCACCACCATCACCACCACGAGTCATGCCCTCTCCACTGCCGGCCACATCATCGTCAACACTATCACGTGCCCGCTGCCGGATAAACTTACGACTTGTTGTCACCACACGAGGAGGGAGGAGGAGAGAGGAAGGGAAGGGGGGAGGAGGGGGGACGAGGGGGGGAGTGAGGGCGAGGGGGGATGAGGGAGGAGCTCTCACCGGTGGATCTCATTGAGGCCACTTGCCTGGAGTGATTTGCGCGGGGGGGGGGAGGGGGTCGGCAACCCCCCGTTGCCTTCGCCGGCTCCGCCGTGCCGAGTTCCATGCCGACGCCATTCCGCCCGGCTGGATGGGGAGGGGGTGGAGCGCTTACCCCTGAGGCCGACAACAATTTAAAGTTTTTTTTTTCGTTTGAGCTGCACATTAGCACCGCTGTAATCCCCTTTAATTACGCTGGGGATCGCCGATTATTATTTTTAAACCCCTTGTTCCCCCACGTCGCGTAGACGTCTGCAAGTTGAAGGGTGCGGGGGTTCCTCCCCCCCCCAGCTCAGCCGCTGAATCCCGGAACGCACGCCAGCGGCTCTGCGTACATTTTTATTCGGGGTTATTGTAGCGCCATCGTTACAGGTGACGTACAGCAACGCGCGTTGCTGTACGTCGTCGGAAAGGGAATCCCCCCCCCCCCCACCACGGGGGAAGAAAAACCGAGTTTTGTTTAAAATAACATAATACAAAGTCAACTTGTGGACGGCATCGGAAAAGGGGGGGGGGGCGGGAAGGGGTTGATGGCGCGCGCCGAACGGGGGGGGGGGGGTGGGGGGGGGGCCGCCCCCCACCCACCTCCCCCTTGGCCAGCGTGGAGAAGGAAGCGTGGCGTTTGACTGGGCCCCCCGGGGGACAAGTGGGGGGGGGGAGGGTGTAACAGGAATCCCGCGGAGTCGTCTCGCTGCGTGCCCGTGGGGTGGAGTTATTTTCAAGTTGGGAACGTCGCTGTTGACAATCCGCGGCCGTGTGTGCGCTGTGCCCCCTTCAGCTCCGTTACACTATTTAGCCCCCCCCCCCCCAGCAAGAGCCCCCTCGGGGGGGTGGGGGGCCTTGTGTCAATGTATCCCTGTCGGCCGCGAGCCATCGTAGTTTAGCCTCGCCCCACAGGGGGGGAGCGCACCACGCCGAGAGAGACACGCCGGTGCCCGCTTTTGGGGGATTCAAATAAAGCCGTGCACCAGCCGACCGCCGGGGTTACAGCTGAGCAGTGCCCCGTCCCCAGGCATGGGCGGCAACGGGGCCCTTGACCGCCTCTCCCCGCCGTGTGTGCGCACGTGCGTGTGTGCGCGTTGCGCGGGCTTGCGTGTGTGTGCGCGTGTGTGTGCACGTGCGTGCATGTGTGCGCGTTGCGCGAGCATGGGTATGTGTGTGCGTGCATGTGTGTGTGCGTGTGTGTGTGTTGCGCGTGCGTGCGTGTGTGTGTGCGTGCGTGTGTGTGTGTGTGTGTTGCGCGTGCGTGCGTGTGTGTGTGCGTGTGTGTGTGTGTGCATCGCCCCCCGCCCCCCTCAAATTCGGTTGTGAACTCACGACCTTTCTCTTGCGAGCCGCTCCTGCGCTTCATATGTTTGAACTTCTTTCGCACCGTACATAGCCAACCGTGATTATTAGATGTGCGGGGTGGGAAGGACCACAAACTAAACACACAAAAATCGCCCGTCAAGAGGTGAGCTTGTCAATCTAGATGATGATTTGAAAGTGCACAGCTCCATTGGCTTCCTCATATCGAAAGGGAGGAGCGTTCCAGATGGCCACACAAGCGCTCCCGGGGGCGCTGCGCGACGAGAAGACGGCGTCCTCGGTGCTCCCCGAACGCTTTGAAACTCTTCCGACCCTGGTTGGAAGCACTCACTCCTCTTCGCTAAGGCCGCAACAAGCCCCACGCCATGCCGGCCGGTCTCTAGCAGCTTTCTCCGCCGCACCCCAAGACCGGCGGGGCCCCCCCCCCCCCCCCCCATGGTCTCTGGTTGGTCTTGAGCGACGCGTCGCCAGGAGGCCCTCGGCCTGCCCCGTGCTCTTTTCCCTGCCTTGTGGTGTCCCCCCCACTTCGCTATGGGGCTCGGGTTCCATTCTCAGCACGTGGTGTCCCAGCCACACCTGAGTCTTCTCTCTCCGTCATGCCCCCCACCCACCCCCGCGTTGTGGGTCTTGAATTGGTCTCGATGTGCAGGCCCCGGTTTGACATCTTGTTTGGCCGGAAGATGCGACAGATTTTCCTCGGGGAGTTGTTGTGGAAAGTTGATGGGGACTTCACGTCTATCTTAGGTTGGAAACATGTGTAGCACGTAAAAAAAAAACACAACCCAAAGACTTTAAAACAGTTGTCAGTAAGGAAAAGCCGGCTGAGTGACGACCGTTATCACTCAGCTCCCCCTCGTGTTGCTCTGCGTTTGCTAGGAGATGTTAACTACCTCGCCTGGTATACAGGAGGTCGTGGGTTCGATCCTAACCCTGATTCCTGCTGCTGTATGTTTGGAGTTTGTGTCTCTCTCATCATCATCACGGTTGCTAGGAGATGTTAACTACCTCGCCTGGTATACAGGAGGTCGTGGGTTCCATCCTAACCCTGATGCCTGCTGCTGTATGTTTGGAGTTTGTGTCTCTCTCATCATCATCACGGTTGCTAGGAGATGTTAACTACCTCGCCTGGTATATAGGAGGTCGTGGGTTCCATCCTGACCCTGATGCATGCTGCTGTATATTTGGAGTTTGCGTCTCTCTCTCATCATCATCATGGTGGCTAGGAGATGTTAACTACCTCGCCTGGTATACAGGAGGTCGTGGGTTCGATCCTGACTCTGACTTCTGCTGCTGCTGTGTACTTGGAGTTTGCGTCTCTCTCCCCGTCATCGCGTGGATTTTGCTCCGGTTTTCCCCTCCACCTTCCGAGTCAACGTCACGCGTTTTTCGAGAATTTGGCTGCCGCTATATATTTCCACGTGATGATGATTATGATGATGAGCCCACTTGGTTGAGCTGCCCTTTGTGATGGCCAGGTCGCTCCTGAAAAAGAGCAACAGCTCAGTGGGTCATTTTAGTTGAATAGTTTAAATACGCAGTTAGACATCGCGATGAATGTCATCACCTGGCGAGCGGACATCGACCCCGCAAATATGTTCGGCATGAATGGTACATCCTTGTGCCGGTCTCACTCGCGCTATGTGGTGGTCGTAGTAGTAGTAGACACGTACCAAAGCAGGGGGCGCACAGTACACGCACGTGCACAGTACACGCACGCGTACAGTACACGCACAGTACACGCACGCGTACAGTACACGCACGCGTACAGTACACGCACGCGCACAGTACACGCACGCGCACAGTACACGCACGCGCACAGTACGCAATGATGTGTCTGTGTCTCTGTGTGTATCTCTATTTATTCGTGTTTATCTGTGTGTGTGTATCTCTCTATGTATCTGTGTATCTATGTATTTCTGTGTGTGTATCTCTGTGTGAGACAGCTGCCTGACGAGTTTCGCGCACAGCGCACGCACAGTCCACAGCGTTGCATCTCTGCGTACTTCTGTGTGTCTCGCACGGTCCGAGCCCGTTGGGTTTCCCCGCTCTCCGTGTGGAAATGAGAGCGCGGGGACCGCGATATGGAAGTCCGCGTCTTCCGCCGATAGAACTCCGTCCGTCCGAGCGACCACGTGGGCAGGCTGGCCGGGCTGCGAGTTCCCCTTTTGAGGCCGAGCCGACCTAGGGGTGGCCCGGTTCACAAGGCCCGTCGGGGGTCCGAGTGCCGTTGTTGTTGTTGAGAGCACACCAAGGCCGGCGCGGTGCACGAAGGCGTTGTTCGATGTGTCGGTTAACTCCAGTTGGTAGCAACTCCGTTCGGCAACTCTTGTAAGCCACTTCCATCGGCAATGCCCGTTTGGCAACACCTGTTGGCAACTCCCATTTGGAAACGCCCCGTTGGTGTGGGGTGGGGTGGTGTGGGTGGGGTGGGGTGGGTGGGGTGGGTGGGGTGGTGTGGGTGGGGTGGGGTGGGTGGTGTGGTGTGGGGTGTTGTGGGGTGGGGTGGGTGGTGTGGGTGGGTTGGGGTGGGGTGGGGTGGGGCACGGCGGTGGGGGGTTGGGAGGTGAGAGGGAGTGAGGGAGGGGGCGGACGTTGCCGTGAGTCGCCACGTATTCGTGGCGTGCCGCGCGGTACCGGCGCACAGGCCATGCCAAGTTTGCTCTCTCCCACTTGGTGTTAGTGTTGTTGGTGGGCGAGGGCCGTGCGTGAGCGCGCGTCGCCACTGGGGGAGACAAAGGCGGCCGGCCTTCATAGGTGCTGCTCGCTAACAGCACTTGCCCCTACAGTCCGTCAAGGCTATACGGGGAATCTTTGTCTTTGCTTTTTTGTGACTAAAGTGAGTGAATCTGTGTGTCTCTCCCCCTCCTCTCGCCCCCTCCTCTCGCCCAGCAAGTGGAAGTGGATGGATCACAGTGCATGCTGGAGATCCTGGATACAGCCGGCACAGTCAGTGCTGCACCACATTGCATGCACACACGGGTCTCCAATCATCCCACACGCGCCTACAATCACCCACGCTCCTACAGTCATCACACACGCCCACCTGCAACGCCTACAGTCATCTCACAGCTTAACACCTGTACGGCCATATGGCTCGGCGCTTGAGCACGAGTTTAAACCCTGGGGGGTAAGCATTGACTCGGCCCATCATACTTCCCTCTGGGGTCGTCTAAAATAAGAACAGCGGTTGTCCTATGGACAGACTAGCCCCCCCCCCCCCCCACCATGGCAATGTGGAATTTCCACCACTCCAGGAATTTGTGTAAATTCCCTTGCAGCCGCACCCGTTATGTACACCGCATTTGCTCGCACACGCTCGCACACGCTCGCACACACGCTCGCTCACACGCGCACACACGCGCGGTTATTTACAGCTGTGCACTCCCACACACAATGGCATTCATAGCCGAACACACAGCCCCGCATTGTGTGCGCGCACACAAAGCACACACACACACACAGTCACACATGCTTCAGCGTAGCTCTAAGCGCGGAGACAAAGGTCCCCCGTGTAGCCTCGGGGCAAGTGCGGCGAGCGAGCGGCGCCCCCCTGAAGGCCTTCACGGCACTCGGAAGGGAGCGGTGTGGCCGCTGACGCTGACTCGCCGCACCGGGTGCTCGTGTGAGGTTGAGTCGCCCGAGGGGATGCCCAAGACCCGGTGCAGGTAATCGTCACTGGTGTTGAGTGGGAGTCAAACTGTTGAGGAGGAGGCGGCTGCGAGAGTGGCAGCTTTGTTGGGGAATGTGTTGGTGGGCGCGTGCGTGTTGGTGAGCGTGCGATTTGGGGAAGTGCGTAGCTTGCGTGCGTGCTCTTGAGCGTGTCGATGAGGGTGTGAGCGTGCCGGTGAACGTGCTGGTGAGCGTGCCGGCGAGCGTGCCGGCGAGCGTGCCGCTGAGCGTGCCGGTGAGCGTGCCGGTGAGCGTGCCGGTGAGTGTGCCGGTGAGCGTGCCGGCGAGCGTGCTGGTGAGCGTGCCGGCGAGCGTGCCGGCGAGCGTGCCGCTGAGCGTGCCGGTGAGCGTGTCGGTGAGCGTGTCGGCGAGCGTGCCGCTGAGCGTGCCGGTGAGCGTGCGCGCGGGCTCGTGTCTCGGCGTGAACGACGTGCAGGAGCAGTTCACGGCGATGCGGGACCTGTACATGAAGAACGGCCAGGGCTTCGTGCTGGTCTACTCCATCACGGCGCAGTCCACCTTCAACGACCTGCAGGACCTGCGTGAGCAGATCCTGCGCGTCAAGGACACGGACGACGTGAGCGGTCACCTTTCCCTTCTATCCGTTTGGACGACTTGCTCGGGAGGACGTCCACCGGCTCGCTCGACCGTCCACTCGCTCGCGCATCCAATCGCCCGCCCGCCCGCCCGCTCGCTCGCTCGCACTCTTACCTGTCCACTCGCTTGTCCCGCTGCCCCGCCCAGGTGCCCATGATCCTGGTGGGGAACAAATGCGACCTGGAGGACGAGCGTGTGGTGGGTCGCGAGCAGGGGCAGAACCTCGCACGCCAGTGGCAGAGCTGCGCCTTCCTGGAGGCCTCCGCCAAGTCCAAAATCAACGTCAACGAGGTGGGCACCACCCCCCACCTCCACACCCCCCCACCTCCACACCCCCCCACCTCCACACCCCCCCCCCCCCACCTCCACACCCCCCCACCTCCACACCCCCCCACCTCCACACCCCCCCACCTCCACACCCCCCCACCTCCACACACCCCCCCCCCACCTCCACACCCCCCCACCTCCACACCCCCCCCACCTCCACACCCCCCCACTTCCACACCCCCACCCCCCACCCCTCACACGCGTCGATTTCTCTGGGTGCGTCGATATCCTTCCAGACGTCCCGAGTCGACATGGTGGTTGTTGTTGTTGTTTGAGGAGGAAATCACTTTGACGTTTAATCACTGAATACTTCCGAGTATTAAGTACAGCCTCTCACCCTGCGGTTCCCCCCCCCCCTCCTTTCCTCCTCTACCTCCTCCTCCACCCCTCCTCGTCCTCCGTCTTCTCGCTCCCTCCCCCCACCCCCTCCGCCCACTGCGTGTGTGCCGCAGATCTTCTACGACCTGGTGAGGCAGATCAACAGGAGAGCGCCGCCTGAGAAGAGGAAGGCGAAGAAGAAGCAGTCGTGCACGCTGCTGTGAGACGCCGTCGGCCACCACCGCCGTCAATCCCCACCACCACCACCACCACAGCCACCGCCACCACCACAGCCACCACCGCCGCCACCACCACAGCCACCACCGTCAGCCGCCACCACCACCACTGTCAGCCACCGCCACAGCCGCCGCCACCACCGTCAGCCGCCGCCGCCACCTTTTTTCTATTGCGCCTTCAAACTCCCCCGGGGGGTCCCGGGGTGGGGTCCTCGGTTGCGCTCGGCGTTTCGCGAGGAAACGTCCCCCCGATCCGATCCCATCCCACCAACCCCCCACCAACCCCCCACCAACCCCCCACCAACCCCCCGCCCACCCACCCACCCTCCGTCTGCGCACCGCCCGTTTTTGTCCGTCGGTCGCCGGCCCCCCCCCGCCCGCTACCCCCCCCCCCCCACCCACCACTGGCGTCTGTCGGAAATTCGTACGGAGACGAAAGTGACGCCGACGCCGTCACCACCGGGACCGACTTCACCGAGAGCCGAGCGCCCCCCCACGCCTCACCACGCAACCAATTACCGAGTCACGACGACACCTTTACGACGTTCAGCCGGCGGTGGGGGGGGGGGTGGTGGTGGTGGGGGGGGGGGGGGCGGCCGTGGAGGGGGGGGAGGGGCCCCTTTTGTGAAGGCTGCGGAATCGGTCCACCGGGGAAAAAAACGGGAAAAAAAATTACAAAAAAAATTTGAGAAGTGGGAAAAAGATGAGTGCTCTCCCCCCCCCCCTCACACACACACAGCCCTCACCCCCCTCCTCTGGTGATTTCTTTCGTCTTCTGTCCCTTTGTCATCCCTCCGGCGTGTGTGTATTTCGAACGGTCCGTGTGTTGCACGCCAGAGTTGGTTAACCCTCCGCCCCGCTCCGCCGTGCGATCGACAGGAAGGCGGCTGGCCAGGTGCACGTGTGTGTGTGCGTGTTTGTGTGCCCGGGCACACGTGTGTGTGTGTGCGTGTTTGTGTGCCCGGGCACACGTGTGTGTGTGTGTTTGTGTGCCCGGGCACACGTGTGTGTGTGTGTTTGTGTGCCCGGGCACACGTGTGTGTGTGTTTGTGTGTGTGCCTGGGCGCACGTGTGCTCCGTGTGCGTTGTGCGTGCGAGCCGGTGCCTCGGTGTGCACACCAGCGCGTGCACGAGTGTGCGCGCGCGTGCGTTTGCGCGACTTGGCGCACGCGAGTGTGTGCGTGTGTGAGTGCGAGCACGTGCATCAGTGTGCACGCCAGTGTGTCAGTGTGTCAGTGCGTCAGTGTGTCAGTGCGTCAGTGTGTCAGTGTGCCGCGTCAGTGTGTCAGTGCGTCAGTGTGTCAGTGTGCCGCGTCAGTGCATTCCGCGTGCGAGCGAGTGAGCGAACTTGTGAGTGACTGCGACTGTCTGGGGCTTCTGTCGCCCTCCTCTCATCCATCCCCATGCCGTGACGCATGCTGGCGCACCTCCTCCTCGCACCTCCTCCTCCTCCTCCTCGCACCTCCTCGCTCCTCCTCGCTCCTCCTCGCGTACCCCGCTCCCCCCTGCCCCGCCCCGACAGTCGCCGAGCGAGCGAGCGGCACAGCGCCACTCGACAGTGCAGCCGGGCGCCAAACTAACACTCTCCCCGTTTCACCTGTGGCTCCCGTACTAATATTTGTACAGAGACTTTTTGCATACGACCCGTCTCTTCAGACTTTATAAATACTGTATTGTCATTTTTTTTCCTCCCCTCCATTATTTTTTTTGTATTTTACTGTAAAGAATAAAAAAAAAGTGGTGGCTAAGAAGGAGCTGAGACTTCGTAAAAAAAAAAAGATACAGCAAATGACGGGGAGGGTGGGGTGAGGGGGCCGGGGGGGGTGGATGGCGCTCCCTCCCCCCCCCTTGCTCCTACTACCTGTTCTATTCTCTTCCAGCTGCACGATGCATTTCGCCCGCTCCTCTGCGCTCACCGCCGATTAGCTCCCCGGCCTCCACCGCCGACCCCCCGTCTCCAAACGACGTCTCCCACCCCCGCCCCGCCGCCACTCCCCCCGGCCCCGCTCCTGAACTCCCGTCAATTTTGGGGGGGAGGGGGGGGTGCGTGGAACACGACAACCGAGTGTTGTCAACTCAGTTTTTTTTGTTTTGCCCAGAGGGGGCGAACCGTCGGCGCGATTCGCGAGCGGAGCCGCCGGGGGAACGCCGTCCCGGCCGCCGCCGCCGCCGAGACGGCGTTGGGTTATTTTTTGGGGCGCACGAGTGATTGTTTTTAGGGGTTTTTTTGTTCTTTCTCTTCGGCGGGTTCCGTTGGCGGCCAGAGGAGAGAGCGAGGGGGACCGTGACGGCGCCAGAGGCTTGTTGGGGCTCGAGTCCGGTGATGCCAAAACCCCCAGACCGCAGCTCTCTCTCTCTCTCCCGCTCGCTCTCTCTCTCCCGCTCTCTCCCGCTCTTTCCCGCTGTCTCTCTCCCGCTCTCTCTCTCTCTCTCTCCCGCTCTCTCTCTCTCCCGCTCTCTCCCGCTCTCTCTCTCCCGCTCTCTCTCTCTCTCCCGCTCTCTCTCTCCCGCTCTCTCTCTCCCCCGCTCTCTCTCTCTCTCCCTCTCTCTCTCCCGCTCTCTCTCTCTCTCCCGCTCTCTCTCTCCCTCTCTCTCTCCCTCTCTCTCTCCCGCTCTCTCTCTCTCTCCCGCTCTCTCTCTCCCGCGCTCTCTCTCTCCCGCTCTCTCTCTCCCCCGCTCTCTCTCTCTCCCCCGCTCGCTCTCTCTCTCTCCCGCCCTCTCTCTCCCCCGCTCGCTCGCTGATGTGGCCCTAGTCCCTCGGCACCGCTTTGCGGCTGGCGGGTGGGCGGGCAGGCAGGTGAGACGGGGAGGGAGATGCGATTTTGGTGGTCGCCGCCAGAGGGTTGGACAGTTTTTGTCGGCCGGTCTGTCAGTTGATTGGTCGGTTGCCTGGTCTGACGATTGATTGGTCGGTCGGCCGGTTCATTGATCACTGCCGGGCAGTCAGTTGATTGGTCGGTCGGCCGATTGATCACTGCCGGGCAGTCAGTTGATTGGTCGGTCGGTCGATGCAGTCATTTGATTGGTCAGTCGGCCGGGCTGTCAGTTGATTGGTCAGTCGGCCGGTCTGTCTGTTGATTGGTCAGTCGGCCGGGCTGTCAGTTGATTGGTCAGTCGGCCGGTCTGTCTGTTGATTGGTCAGTCGGCCGGGCTGTCAGTTGATTGGTCAGTCGGCCGGGGTGTCAATCGATTGGTCAGTCGGCCATGCTGTCAGTCGATTGGTCAGTCGGCCGTGCTGTCAGTCGATTGGTCCGTCGGCCGTGCTGTAGCGGCGCGAGGCTTTACAACTTTAAACGCGGTGGGACTTGCACGGGCCGGGTGCCGCGACAGCTGCTGGCCTCTGTCCACCACCGCTGCTCGCCAGGCCGTGCGTGACGCCACGCGGCGCTGGGGTGGGGGGGGGGCGAGGGGTCGCTCCTGCATGGTTTATTTCACTTCCTTACTTTTGATTTTAAATGCTTTCGTGCGTACTACAAGATTCATTTATTGATGCTAGCCCATCCCCCGCCCTCCCCCGCACCCCTCTCGCCATCGTCATCACCAACGTCAGTCGCCATCGTCGTTATTATTAAACAATATCCTTTATTACAACTCGGTTATAAGCTGTTTAACTTCGGCTTGGCAGTGGCGCGAGAGGATGCGAGCGAGCGAGCGAGGGAGCGCGTGTTCCGTTGTTTGTGTTTACAAGTCGAGTGAATTCGCAGGCGTGACATTGCCGCAAAAAAGTTACCAGCAAGGCCCCCCCCCCCCCCCCCCGAAGGCTTTCAAAATGCTTTGTGTTGCCCCTCGCCACACAACCCCCAGCCCCTACAGAAAAAACACAAATTGAATGCTCCGAATTAAAAACAAACCTATATATGTGTGTGCGTGTGTGTGTGTCCGTATCTCGTGAGTCTGACCCCCCCACCGCCTCCTCCCCATTCAAGCAATGGAACGCCCCGACTTTAAAGGAGAGAAGCCGTCTGCCCCTCCCTCGGGTGGCTACGTTGGGGGCAAACCATTGTGGGGGGTGGGATTTGGGAGAATTTAAAAAACCCCAGACAGGAAATCCACTCGCTCCGCGCCTCTCCAATTCAGTGGCGCATCCCAAGTATCTCTGTCTTGTAGTCCAAACACGTTAACCCGCTTATAGTTTCTACCGATTGTACTGTAGATGTCTGATGGTATAATACTTTATTTTTCCTTTCCCCGAACTACTTAAATATTCGTACAATGTGTACCGTACATACATTTGATGCCAAATAAATTGTATTACATTTTACACTCCACCGACCCAACCCACGCCCCCCTCCCCCCCATTAATCAATTAAGTCATTCATTATTAAGCTGATTGCGCGCACAAATTAAATTCGGGACTAGTGGGTGGGTGGGCGGGGAGGGAGGGAGAATGAATGTAAAGGAGAAATTTTGAATCTTGAGACGCGCTTCCAGGCGGTGGTGGTGGTGGTCATGCCGCACGAGAGATGGGGAATTCGATGTAGAGACGGCGGGGGGGGGGGTGGGAGTTGCGTGGTGGGGGGCTGTGGGGGGGCTACATCCGAGGGGGGGTCACATTAGAGAGAGTGGTCCGTGGTGCTCGCCTCGTCGCTGACGGGTTAAGAGAGAGCGCGAGCGAGGGAGACAAGCCCAGTTTTAAAGTTCCAACGAAAAGAGACGTCTGCATTTATTAGAGCAATAAATTAATCATGTCGTCTTGTCACAAGTGTGTCTGAGCTTAGTCTGTTAACCCACTGCTGGATGGGGGACTTCCCCCACCACTCGCACACACGCCGTGTTGGGTATCCGTGCGCTCGTTGGGGGGGGGGAGGGTGGCGGTGCGTGGGGGGACTTGTGACCATACTTCCCCACGCTGGTCAGTGCCAGGTTTCGGCGCGACTGGCGGGGGGGGGGGGGGGGGCCCAAGATCCGAAGGCAAGGCCTGCGAAGTTCGCGGCGTGCTAACCGCTGCGCCACCGCTCCCCCGCTCACCATCATCCATGAGAAGAGATCTCGCAACGTCGACAGAAGCGGCGGCGGCAGCAGCAGCAAGAGATGAAACTCCTTGGAGGAAATGTGGCGCGAAGTTGAGACGGGGAGGGCCGCGGCTCTCATCAGTGACTTGCACGGGGAGGGGGGGGGGGCAGCGGGGGGGGGGGGGGGCAGCAGGGGGGGGGGGGCAGGAGGAGCCCGCGGTGCTCTCGCGAGATTTCCGAACATTTTCCTCTTTGAGAACGCCCCAACGGATCGATAGATCGGGAATCTTATCAGTTTGGTGGGTAGGGTGGGGGGTGTGGATAGTGGGGGGGGGGGGTAAAGTGACAACGTCCGAAGTGGGGGGTGGGGGGGTGGGGGGCGTTCTTCGCGCTCGCTG